CCAAGAGCATAGTTAGTAATTTAGAGTAAATAAATGACTGGTCTAGTATCTACAGAAATTGGGAGTATTAAATTACTCTTCCAAAATGGAAATATTTGGTCAGAAATTAAACAGGATAAGCTATTCATGCATTTTTTGTATCAAAACTGAATTTCATTTGTCCAGACAAATGAAATTCAGTACATGTACAGAGATATAGTAATGTGGTCAAAAAGCAAGATTGCAGGCAGTCAACAATCTTTTTTTGTCCCGATTGTGAAATTAATTGTCATGGACATGTATAATTTGAAGAGAAAAAAATATGTCAAGTTGGTCGTTTTGAATTCGAACACGAAACAAATCATCAAGAACATGTATCTCAACATAAACAATGTTTGTATCAAATTTGAACAAACAACGACATATCCTGTCAAAGAAACCACATTTTTCAGAAAACAAGATGTATGCAAGTCGGCAAACAAACACACTGATAAAAACATGTATTATTATATTTATGATGTATGTGCCAAATATGAATGAAAATGGTCTAAAAGCCTTGGTGATATAGTTGTATGGCAACCAGTCACCAGTCTTCGTAGACATGTAATATAAAACGCACAATGCATGTACCAAATTTGAACAAAAACTGACAAAAGTATGCACAAGATACCACAGTCGGCCATCATTGATCCGATCACAAAACAAATCATAATAAACATTTATACTAAGATATTATATGTATATGTATAAAGTATGTGCCAATTTTGAACAAAAACTTACAAAGTATGCACAAGATACCACATTTTCAAAAACCAAATTGGCTGCAAGTCAAACATATTGCATTGAATCAGCAAACCACTGTATGTGCATATGTCCCAGGATAAGTACTGAAATATGACCCTGGACTGAAGGACGGACATTGAATTATAAGTCCTCGTTTCGAACTTTGTTCGAACGGGAACTAATAAAGCTGGCAGTCCCAGTTTGCCCAAACGTATATTTTGGTATTGTGTGCATTTTATAGGTTTATTGTTTTAGGTAGAAGCCTACTCATAAATTAAAATACCAATAATTTAATCATATTGTAATAAACTGTACTCCAAGGCAATAAATGATAATGACTTTAAAAAAAGATGGGGTCACCAGCCTTATTTTCAAGAAATTGATGGTTCTATTTTAGTGGAAAGTCGCCATTTTGACACTATTATAACACTTTTACCACAGGTTCTATGGCAGATATATTATGCAATATCTCAAAATCTAACCTAGTGTCATAGGCTGAAAAAATCGTATATTGATAATAATGGAGTACTTTTTGTTGTTCTGAATTATTGACAAATCTGGGTTTTAAGTGTCAAAAATGCATTTTTGTTAATATTGTGTTCTTTGTTGTTCTAGGGATTGTTTTTAAAATAGCGATTTACAAGAAATGTTAGGACACGTTTCTCAAAAGCTTAACTGTAACACACAAAATAATGCTATTTCATTGTACCATGGGACATTAGCTTCATGATTGTACATAATAAACTAATCAACATTGTCATGCGATTTATGACCAATTTTGTCAAAAATTATGAGTAGTATTGAATCATATATCGTATTTCATTCAACATCGCACTGATTCAAGTGAGAAAAAACATTGAAGATGATTTAGTGAATACGATTCTTTTTCTCATTAACATATTATACTGTGTGGTAGGCAAGTCTTCTAACAAGCTTTGGATAAAAGGCTACTCGATGCTTTTGCAATTATTACTAGAATTCGTTAGACCAGTAATATTTGGCTCAGTGTTGTTATAAAACAAGTGTATATCTAGAGTATGTAAAAAGAATATAGAATGGTTGTATTGAACATGTGCATCTCGTATTTTAAAGAATGCACACGATTCAACACACAACACTCATAATGGTGCCAATAAAATTGTGTATCACCCTAATGTGGTACATAACAGTATCATACATTGTTCTCTTCTCAATGAAAGCTGGGCTAACTGATTGAAGTAGAAAAGTTCTAAGCTGTGTAGTAGAACATCAGTTAGTATGTATATATAGTTTTAATACATATGCTATCCTTACACAGAAGGGAATCACAATTTCATTCATGCACCATTCAAGGGGGTTGAGCTAATTTCATGCAAATGTTTGTGAAGGGTCATATATTTTTATGTACGCGACTTTCAAAAACACCATCCTACCCCTTGTACTTTCTGTCCAGTCCCTTACGGTAGTGTAATTTCTGTAACAACATATACACAATATCAGGTATATAATGTACAAGGTAAACTACAGTGTATGTGATACAGACACATTATTCCACCATGCGTACATAAATAATCAAATATCAGTGATGAAGGCACCGGGGGTGCCCCGAAGAATGTGCGACGAATTGTGCTTTCAAAAGAATGATGAGCAGATCTCGCCCCGTGCAACATTTCGTGCAGTCGCCTCTAATAATCCTGAACACTGAATTTGGTTTTCAAAAATATTATATGACAAAACTTGCCCTAGCTGACCCATAGGTATGCACATGTTATATAACATGTTATTTAGATTAAATTCACAATGAGTTTTGTGAAATTCATTGTCAAACAATAGAAGTGTGAACAAATTAATAACCCACTAAACAATACAGTGTATTTTGTTTGTGGAAACGTTAAATGTGGTCAAACATGTGTCGAAAACATTACGTGCTAAATTTACTACATTGTACTACGAAATATTTACCATTCAAAACAAAACCCATCATATCGATAGATCTTATTCAGTATTTCATGGACGAGCCAAATGAGTCTACAGTACATTATCCTGTCTTGGTGATGAAAAAATGAATATCTTTCATTCTACGACCTCCATATTTCATTAACAAAAAATCTAGTAGGTAAAATCGTTTAAATAATGTTCGTATGTGCTATTCGTGTAAACAATGTAGACAAAAACATCTTCTTTAAAATGAAGGCTTCACAAAAAATATATTGTTATGTACATTGCAGACAGCATTAAAACTTTCATTGCTGTAGTAAACAAAATAACTATTATGCAGTTAGAAAACAGATTTACTATAATATCGCTCCCTATCAAAAATACATCACAAGAACTAGTCCACTATCGTTAAGTCGAGTCATATTATACCACAACTTTCATTGAATGTAGAAATGAACTGCGAACGAAGCTTACGGAATATTCATGAAACACGGAATAGAATATTAATAACGATGTAATTGCATATAATTCATTATACCATGAAATACGAACAAAGATTTTTGATTTATGTGAATATGTCCTACGCAATTGATCCTTTATTTCATAGTTTTGATTGAGTTATATATATATTTATTTTATATTATTCCACAACGTTTTTCTCACCTTCTGCGAGTTCATTTTCATTAATAGATTAATGTACAAAGTACAAATGTGTTACCTTCGAAGAATGTTCTTGAATTATAAAAAAAAACAATAAGTATGTCAAAGAAGCTATTCGTTCTAATTGCAAAAGAATATTATTGCGACTTGAATTTTATCTTTTAAATTACACAAAAATCATAAATCTTGGATTTGTTTGCAAGCATCTAAAAAGATGATTGAACCACATGCTGAAATAAATGAGACAGAATTAAATATATGTCATACCTTTTTGGTCCAACATGTGCTGTTTCTGAATTTTTAGTCATCTTTTTTCTACCAGAAGTTTGCATGGAAATGTTGAGATATGTTAAATTTCAGAGCTGCTTGCGAGAATTATATGAAGGATTATATTTGTTTCTCATAAAAAATTAAAACCTCGACCAAACCACGTAACTGATCGAAATTATTTTATGTTCCCCTTAAGAAGCTATTATAAACATACATTTCAAAATTTTTGGTATTTTTTTTCGAAGATTGGTTTTGTCGTTAAATTGTGTTTAACTGTGTCTGTTCAGTTGAGAGACATAACATGAAAATTGACAAAATATAGAATAACTGAGACATCAGTCAAAAATCTACTCCCTGTTTAGAAGAAATCCAATAAGGCGACCAAATCAATCACAATAATTTGTTTGTTGTTTGCTTTACTTTTACAGTATTCTTTCCCAGATCGGGATTTAGAACGGCGTTTTGCAGTTGCGAGTACATAAAATAAATTGTTAATTACAAAGCAATATTAATGTTCATATCATGTACAGATTCTCATCTACCATCGAACATACGTGTATCCGTCAGATGTATCGTATGTGTCACCACGGTACACTTCCTGAACTGTCGACAATACACCAACAAATCACGTCTTCTGTCAACCAAGGAATTGTTCTTTTTTTCAATTTTAAAATACTACTTTCACATACAATGTAAAAAATAACATATAAGGATCGTAGATAACTGCGGTTCCCTGTCTACACAATTTATAGAATTG